GCGTGGAGTGGACGGAGCAAGCCCCTATTCCATCTCCCTGTTCCAAAAATCAATTTAATATATGGTCCCCGGGTAGGGGACGTATCAGATATTAAACTGATAAGAACAGATACTACACTTGATCTTAGCCAAAAGGCCGAGAAGCGATACCAGGAAAACGTCGGAGCAGACGGAGTCACTCCCCGCACCATCTCCCTGACTCGCGGTCCGAAATCCGAAGTTAAAATTCAACAGTAACGTTTACCGTACAGTTTATGAAATAAATACAAAAACATTAAACCGAAGTAGAAGAACCAGTCAAAGAATCGCTACAAACAAAGTTATTTAAACAACTACGTCTTCCTGGTGGCTTCCTGGTTACGTAGTCTGCAATTGTCCAATCACAAACCGAAGCAGCAACAGAGCAAAAAGGCTACGAAATTTAACATTAAATTCCGAATTTACTGATGTTATCCCTAAAACCTGTCAAATAACTATTACCGAGTCCTCCGAAGGTGAAATTCACGTGAGTAGTCCGTGTTTCTGTTACGGGCTGCGAGGCGCCAGTGCCGCCGCCATTTTGGTCCAGAGAAGCCGCGCCTCCTCAACTCGATTCATTTCATAGAAAACTCTAAACAAAATATCGTAGTAAAATAAAGGAGCTTGTGTAGACAAATATATCATGCAACATTTAAGTTGTAGTTCATTTAAATTATTAAAATTTAAAGAAAACAAAAATGACACGTTTAAATTTGAAAAGTCAGCAAAGAAATTAAACATTTGTAACGCGATTTTCCTTCGCCCGAGTTAACTAAGCAGAGTACTGCAGCAATAGTTGCATCCGGTAATGATTGAAAAGAGGGAACACTGATAATATAATCAAGTTTAATACGTTTTGTGTACGATAAATCTTCACCTGTGAACTTCTACTGCATCTACAGGCCAAAGATTTACTCTTTAAACCCGTAGCGGTGTCTGTGGGAGAACACTCAGGTCACAAACCTGCAAATATGACCGCGGCCAGTCTGCTCTGAAGAACCAATCAAGTAGCAGCAACCTCTGCTAGACACAAACCATCAACAATAGCAAGGACAGACAACTGCTGGTAGCAGAACTCGTTTCATGTTATGTACGTTTAGCTGTACAAAACACAAACACGCACAAGACTAATTTGCACTGAAATATTTCAAAATAAATCAACTAAACAAACAAACGGAGACCTAAAAACCAGTTTCAGTTACATTCGTTTTTATTTATATTGCACCAAATCACAACAACAACAACAATCGCACTTTATATTTTAAGGTACTCAATAATACAGAGAAAAGCCAGACAAGAATTTGGCTACAGTAGGAAGGAAAAACTCCCTTTTAACGGGAAGAAACCTCAGCCAGAACCAGAGACTGGTTGAGGGTGTGGGGAGGTCTTTGAACTGGTTTCCAGGAATCTTGAGCAAACATTAACAGAAAACCCATTAAACCAAATATGAAAAAAATGACTGACCTTAAAAGGGACTTGAAATGCTACACATATACAGGTTAATTTACACCACTGAGCCCTGCCCTCAGAAAGCGAGACAGATGGAACACCGTCTGAAGCTGGATTTAAGAAATAAGCTCTTAAAGTTCAAGTTTTAAAAACATGTTTAGCGGTTTAGCTAGCTGCACTCAAACAGGAAAATCCAGCGTTTAACGGTAATGCTAGCAGAGTTTTATAGACCTCTCAATTCTTCAGAAGAGCTGCGTCAGACCAAACAGACTGTCAGTGAGTTTCCTCCCTTGGATGAAGACGTTGCTAATAATGTAACTACTGGCCGGTCATCTGGAAATACAACAAATCCTCCCGCATGTAATATTTCTATCTCCACAGGAAATGACAAATACAAAATAATGAGGAGGTGCGAGAGGGATCAATATGTCTCACTCTTTTGTCACAGGCGTTCCTCGGCACGAAGCACCAACTGTTTATGTTACTCACTGATAAAGGAGAAGCTGGTAAAAGAAAACAAAAACCCCACAATCCTTCAGATACATGGCAGATTTTAAAATCATGACCGTGAATGTCAGGGGATTACAAAACCCAACAAAGACAGCAGTACTTTCTTCTTATCTGGCAACATTTGTTTTTGACACCTTTTGTTACAAGAAGGACATTTAAAAGATGATAGTGATATACTGCTGTTTTCCAGACAATGGGTCAAGGGAGAATCCAGATTGGAGTGAGAGAGTGTGTGTCGATACTGACAGTAAAGAACTTAGAATAATTAACATACACGCAGATGCAGAACCTCCAGTTCCTAAGGAGTTATTAGCCAATCTAGACATGCATTTCATGACAAATAAAGCTGTTGTGGAGGGTGATTTAAATGGCTCAGTAGACAGAGGTAAACATCTTTTGCTGCTAAAATTATTTATAAAGACGATTTTAGGGAGATATGTAAGGATGATCCTGGAGATACTTGGGAAAACAGTAGAGGAATAAAACCCCAGTTAGATTACATTTTTACTACAAGCAAATACGGTCTGTTAATATTTCTTAGTTTTTTGTTAATTCTTAGCGATAACAATTTTAGGTCCAGCTTTCAGCCCCTTTTAAAGGACCATGAATCTATACTCCAACCTTGTGAATTGGTGGGAAGATGCAAAACAAAGAATAAAATGCTATATAATAAAATATTGCAAAGAAAGATAAAAAAATAAATCAAAATCGATGTTAAATTCCACACAAAAAGAAATTGGCAATATATATTCTACTGACAATTCTAATGGTGTAAGTATGGATAGAGATTACTGCAGGACATTTTTTAGAAAAAAGCTTGTACCTTTAAAGTGCAGAAGCAGGAATATATGCAAATGAAAGATGCTCTGCCTATTTTTTCAGAAAAGTCAAAATACATTGTAAAAGAAGATCAATAAAGGAACTGCAAAGGAATGATGGGGTCATGGCTAAAACAGGAGGAACTATTGGAGGACGCTGCATCACATTGCACCCAACTTTTTCAAGTAACTTTTGAAATCGGGAGTACATTTTTACGTTTGGTTTTTGTTTGTTTTGGGGTTTTTTGGGGGGTACCCTTGGATAAAAAAGGAAAATTAGAAACAGATATTACTAAAGAAGAACTATACATTGCTTTGAATTCAATGAAAAACAGGAAGGTGCCTGGAATAGACGGACTGAGACGAGAAATCTACATGACATTTTGGGATTTACTGAGAAGCCATTTGGGAGAGATTATCAATGAAATGAAATTGAAATG